GCACACAGTGCCAGCGTTCTGCGTTCTGCGTCAGAGTGCCGCGACTAATCCCCTCCACGTCGTGTCATCCCCACTCGATACTTTAGTAGTAGGTGCATCGCGTCAGATCTTTCGGTCGCGTCGGCCCCAACACCACGCAACGCTTTGCCGTACTCGCGATTAGATTGCGTCGCGCGACGACGTTGTGCGCTTCGTCCGCGATGCGTCGTTCGAAATCTCGTAATACGTTCTCCTTTTTCTTTTTTTTCCCCCCAATTCCTCTATTTATTTTGTAATTTTTGTATCGTTTGAAATAACCCTAGAACAGTTTTACAATTATAGAATAAATATTTTTCCGTTTTTTTCCATCCTCTCAACGAACGAGATAATCGATTCTTTCTACTTCGTTTAAAATAGTCTTTGGTTTTTACGACGTTAGGGAAGAAAATGTTTATTTCGATAGAATTACGAGATAGGAGATAAACAAAGCGTAGTTTCGGCTAACGAAAAACAAAGAGTTGTAGACCGGGCCGAGTGGAGCGAGCGCCACTTGGACGAGTCTGTTGCAAGGACCCTCCACCTCTTGCTCCACCTCCGTCCTCTATAAACCGAATGCCAGACAACGAGGGCATCAGCCCCCATGAATCACCGCCGGTCACCTTCACTTTTTATGTAAGCTTGTTCTCACCCGGCCTCGCCGGTTGAACAAATCTTCGTGCCTTCTGACGCAGGATCGATACGGAAATTTGCGTTGCAACGTAATCACGATTCTAAACCTCATTTCTCTGGAATTTAAGCGAAACGATATAATAATAATAATAATAAATCTTTTCTCCTCGATTCTTTTTTGTCGACCAACGATTCAAAGAAGCGTTAATTCATCGTGTATAACCTCGCTTCGAATATAATAATTTCCAATATAGACACGTTGAACGTGATGCTTCGTTATCGAAAACGGTATATGCACGCTATAAATCATCATATACATTAATCGCGTCGCCTTTCTGCAGCGATTCGACACTTCTATTTGCATAGATCGCTTATATGCATAATGATCGTGCTTATGGCGGACGAATTTGGAATTTCAAGGACGAGAACTCGGGACGTGCATTGCCTCGATATATGGCTGTTGTTGCAGTTTCGCGGGTTTTTTTTTTCTTCTCCGTTGAATCGGCTGTGCCGATAAAAATAAAAACTGCCGGCTGTTGCCGATCGATTGGGTCGATGCCAGTCGCGAGAATAAGTAAATGGATCGTCGAGGATTCAACCGC